GAAAATGCTAATTCAGCATGAGTTAAATACTTGTTGAAGACAAATTAAATTGAAATCACAAATTACTTTGAAAAGATCAGTCGCTGGCGATCAGCCACTGAGACTGATCATACACACATCATGTGACTAACTGCTTCCTGCTGTTTCTGACATCTCACCGTAAGATTCACCAAAAACTGTTTCTACAGTCTACAGTCTTCTACAGTTTCATAAATCAGCCACGTTTATTTCTCTGCACCGACGATCGCTGAAGGCATTATTTTGACACGTTGTTTGTCACATTCTTGTGAACATGATACCTCAAGAACACCTCAAAGGAATTTCTTTAAATGTGGCACAAACGTCCCCTGAACTCAACGATGAACTGATTAGACTTGATGGTCATCGATCATAGGTCGATGTCACTGGGACTTTGTCTCATTCTTGTGAACACCTTGAGAGATTTCTTCAAATGTGGCACAAACGTCCTCTGAACTCAATAAACTGATTAGATTTGGTGCTCATCCATCAAAGGTCAAGGTCACTGTGACTTTGTCTCATTTTTATGAACACAGTAGCTCATGAACACTCTGAGAGGTTTTTTCAAATGTGGCACAAACATCCTCTCAACTCAGTGATGAACTGATTAGAATTTGGTGGTCAAAGGTCTCTATGACCTTGCATCTGTCTCATTCTCATGAACACAGTCTCCAGCACCTCAAGGGAATTTCAAGTTTGGCACAGACGTGCATTTGGACTGAAGAATGAACTGATCAGAATTTTGTGGTCAAAAGTCAGTGTGACCTCACAAAACATGTTTTTGTCCATAACTGAAGAATTCATTCACTAATTCTGACCAAACGTGACATAAATGTCTAACAGGATAAAATAATGAAGGTCTAAAGGTCAAAGGTCAGCTTGACTGTGACATCATCATGTTTTAACGTCATATCTCAGGAACAGAAGGGGAGACATTTGGTCAGATACTGAATTGGTGACTCTAATCTTGAAACTGTGCTGATTGTATAGATCTTCTGTGTGTGAAGCATCCATGTTTTCACTGACATGGATGGAGACTGTCAGAGACACTGGACTGGTGGGCGGAG